ATTATGATAAAAACAATAAATATTTGCGTATTTTTATCATCAATTATAAAAATACAAAAAATATAATACATTTAGTTAGGTTGCTGTGGTGGCGAACAAACGTTTCGTGAAAATATTCACCCCCTGTTATGTAACCCACGAGGTGTTTTCGCGAACTTGCGCGTGACTTTTAAATTACTTCTTTTGAATTCTGACAGGACAACTATTATGGGAGGTTTTTTCCTTTCAAATACAAATAATATTTCCAATTTTTGGATTGGGACTATTCTACAATGAAGTACTCTTGGATAATGTAATCTAAATACATATGAAAACGAAGAAGTGGCATTTATCGGGCAGGGAAGCGGCGAGCCATTAAAATGGCGGCAATTTGACGAAATATCGAAGGACACAATATCGAAGATAAAATACACTGCACTGTTTCTAAAGTGGATGAAACCTTCTTTGAAATCTTCTTTAGCCATTTATGATTATGCAAAAGTACAATAACTGGATGATATTTGCGAGATTCGGCGATAAAAAGCAAACAAGACGGCAAAATATGGCTGAAATCGTGTTTTCGTGGGGGGTAAGTGAAATAAAATGTATTATATTTAAAGAAAACAATGACAATCCTTATGAAATCAACAATATTTATATTAAATTAATCATAGTTTTTCACCCCATGATAATTTTTTTAGGAAATAAGAATATTTAATTTCTGCCAGGCATATTAGTTATTTTATGCATAATTAGCAATTTACCTGGGGTGGTGCATGGTCATTTTCTTGTAAAATATTATACTTAGACAAATTTTTTCTTCCAATGACAACCCCTAAAAGCAACCCTTCTAAACACTATAAACACTTCAGAAAGACTATCGCTTTTTGTTTCCTGAAGTTAGAGCTATGTCGACACTGCCGTTTCAGGGCGGGGTCATTTTCAGGACTTTCGTCCCGGATTCAGGTTTTGGCACATATGCCATGTTGACCGCCATGGTCCATTTACCCTAAAACAGTTGAGATTACCTGTGCTAAATGAAATGCATACAAACTCATATACAGGTCCTAGACTAACAGCTAAAACAAAAAGTAATATAAAATTAATATAAAATTGCTTTTCTTGAATGTCTTGTTTCTAATTTTTGCAGAATGCGAGAAAACGACTTGCAACAAACAAGTACTCATTTGTAAAATTTCTTCCTCGAACACAATGCCTGACACCCAGAGAAACTTTGGTCAACATACAGCGGAACAAGAAAGGTAATTATGTTTGCAGATTTTATAAGAAAATTTGTTTTGATGGTAGCTTGTGAAATTGATGAATAATTAATTAGTTTTGTATCTAATTTAAATTTGAATAATAAGAATGCTAATTAGTTACGATTAAGCACTGGCAATAAGTCTTCTGTTGCAAGAACTTCAATCCGAAATCCAACATCCGCGTCCATATTTAATGAATATATAATCACTCACCTTCGATCAGCTGGTGTTTGTACATTCCATATATGATACTAGTACTGCCGCTCATGTTGTAAAAATTACATAAAGTTTAGCACTTTACACGCATTCGCGAAATTCGACGTGACTGAATGGGATTAATTTCGTCTATTAAAAATTGACAAAGAATGCTGGCCGGTAGCTTCCTAGCTACTACCAGTATTACAATCAGGGACGAAACTTGAGCCCCCAAAGCTGGATTGGCAGGGCAAATCATCTGGATTGGCAGGGCAAATCATCTGGATTGGCAGGGCAATGAAATATTTTAAATGATAGAATGTACAGTTATTAAGTAGCTTCCAGGGCTTCCAGAGGGAATTGAATAGAATTGATAGACCTAAATTTTACAAATATGGGTAAAAAAATAAGGGTTAATTTCATGCATGTTTTAGCAGGAATTTGTCCGAAAAAATTTTTTTGACTCTTAATTTAACTGGTTTATGTCCGGAAAAATTTTTTCGCCCCTTTTTTGAATGTCCGGAAAAATTTTTTTCGTCGACCTCCCTTTTTAGGAAAAACAGTGCACAAAAAATTTTTTTCTTGCAGGGCATCATCGGCTTTCCCAGGGCAATTCCAAAAGACACCCCCCTTATTAAAAAGGGCTAGTTTCGCCCCTGATTACAATCAGCGCACTTTTATCAGGATTAGTGGATACTGATCTTTTATACAAATGTTAATTACCATAAACTTTAGGCTCTGTTACACAAATATCAGTATATTATTTGCACAATGAATTATGGAATTGCGAATATTATGCTATTTCAATGCTATAATGAAATATTTTTAAACAAAAATTATGTAAAATAGTTAGTATAAAGGTAAAATTAAAGAAGTTCGATATCGAGATCCGACCTCAGGCAGACCTTGCGTGTAGTCACTGCGATATGTTTAACAGTTCAACTTTTGTTTGCAGGAGATACAGGATTCGACATGGAAAAGTTCCACAGTGAGGAATACCAACGAACATTTCAGTATCTTACGCAGTTTATTGCAAACGGCTCAAATTTAGACACATTTTCGTTTATATACCAACCTTTTGTCATGATTGGTGACCCAGTTGATGCTTTGAAGATTATAATCAAGTAAGAGTGATTTGATAATTCGGAGTTTATAACACATAAGCATAAACGTTATAATGATTAATGTAATTAGTCCATTCACAAAAATCATGCTTATATACTTGTACATGTACGAAACCACAAATAATTTGAAATCAGTTAATATTGTACTATAAAATTTTAAAAAATGTTCAAATAGTTTTTATTTTGTTCTAAATAGGTTGGATATATATTTTTAGTATTTGCTTTACAGTTTTCAAACCAGTGTTCAAAAGGCACTAAAATCTGGTGCATTGACCAATGTTAGGTTATAAAATAACTGCTAATAACCACGACAAGCAGACAACTTCAGAAAATACAAAATAAAACAAATTCCGAAAATAGACATCTTGTGTTCTTGATATTCAAGATAAAAACAAGAGTGTAAAGACAGAGTCGGTATCCTGTAAATAACTGCTAAATCAGTGATATTGCGCCAAAAGAGATTTGACTCTGTACATAATTAGGGGTGGAACAATATTTTACTTCCTGGGACCGCAAGAGAACATTGAAGCATTTTCTGTGAATAATCAAGTAAATTGATACTTGGACACTGTAACTGTGTAACACTAACAAGATGTCAAAGTTAATGTCATGCTATGTTCTGATAGAAAAAAAATTCAGTGCAATAAGAATCTTAATAATACTTTTAGGAATATCACATAAAACTAATTTAGATCACATGCATCAGGAGTCAGATCATAAGGTAAATTGCCAGATGCCAAAAAAGGGTACTACTGAAGGTACTACTGGAGGTACTACTGGGGGAACTACTGGGGTCACTATTAAGGGGATGAAGGCATGATCCCCCCGAAAATTTTGCCTATACATTTATACATTATTGCGCTATTAAAATGGATGCACTTATATAAATGTATTTCTAAGGTCATACCTACAGTCAGAGGTAACATTCTTTCTATTGGTTAGAATTTTCCTCTGAATTTCTCCTTTTATTATATTTAAAATTTTACAATTATCTCTTTCTTTCTTGGGAAGTATTTTCTGGAAATTAAAATTTTCTGGGAGCAATGGTCCCATGGTCCGATACGTTGTCCACCCCTGTACATAATGGTGTTATTTTGTACATTTTTATTTAGCACCACTTTTAATAAATAGTGAAGAATAAGTGGTGTATAAACACTATAGTTTTAATTTTTCTCAGGATAAATTTTCTATGCAGTAGGTTAATTACTGCCATAAGTAAGCATGCAATACTCAATTTGTGTAATAATAATATAGGCGTGTCTAAATGCTTCACAACTCATTTACAGTCTGGCAAAACGTGTTTTAGATATTGTGGAATTCGTGATCCATCTTGGGCAGAACTTTATCATTTTGTAAACTTTTTGAACATCCAGCTGCGTGACTGTGAAGAAAGCGTTTTCTGCAACCCGCTATTGGTTGGTGATCTCTTGCAAGGTTTTAGAACATTTGCAGTTCGTTTTATGATTCAGATGTCTCGTGTAAGTTTCTCATTTATTAACAACAATAATAATAATAGTAGTAATCATAAAAATCGTGATAAATCATGGAAGTCATGATATTCATATGTTTTCTTGACCGTTTCAACAAGGTTTCACCAAAGAATGAGATTATTTTTCCTTGACTTATTTGAATAATAATATTGTTGAAATTCTCAAATGTGGTCAAAATGTATTTTACACACATTTTTATGAAACCATAATTAAGATTTAAAAGTACTATCCAATTGAATATTTAAGATTTTGGTTATTTTGGCTCAAACATGGCCTTAGTGTAGCATTTCATTTTTGACGTTCATACTGGACCAGGTGTACAATTTGTATCCAGCGCAATTTGGTACACTACTATGACAGCCAAAAAGCAAGTGATAAACAAAGTAAAATTCTAGCAAACAAGATGTTGTGATTTATTGTGATGTCTTGTTTGAATTTAAAGTTTCAATTATACAAGGGCTGTAAGCCTGTTAGCATAATTATTGTTATATGAGTGAACGAAGGGGGAATTAAAGCCTAGCATATGCTTATATTTTATGAACTCTGGTCAAAATATATGAAAATACAAGCGGTAATGCTTATCTATTTGTCGTTGGGATCACCTTTTAACACTAGAGGTCACCCCCAAAGTAAACAAAAGTGTAGATGCTACACCCCCATGAGAGGCACCATCCCATAATCCCCCAGTGACTTTTAACACGAAGGCATGTTCACCATTCGCAACAGTGATCTATAGATCAGTGATAAACTGGTGGGGACAAGTATATTTCAGCCTTCGTTCACTCATATAACCCCAATTATACTAACAGGCTGACAGCCCTTGTATAATTGGAATTTTGTAGTAACGATATTATTGTAGCGACGTTATGACATCATATTGAGAAAGATCTATTAATAATGTTCTATAGACAAGCGTGTACCCGGATTTAAAACATTTTGTTTGCCGTCATTATGTTCCCTTTGTCAACATTTGACTTTGCAAATAACGAAATAAACTAGCAGATAATAAAGTAATACGTAACTTACTAACCTCGGCCATGATGAGAAATATCAAACCTATTTCTCTTGGCTCTGGTCCCAATATTGTTCGCTTGCTTGGACCACAGGCAACTCCTCCTCGAGTTTCATTTTTTCTATTTTGTTTTTTAAAGTTTCTCTTTTATCAAGCGTCAAAGCTTTCGCCTTAATATCAGCTGTTCTTTCCGTTTTGTAGCCAGTGCAAAATGAACACTTGCAGGGAGGTGAGTCCGGGATTGGACGCACCGAGGGTGGCTGGAAGTTTACCGAACTTACCGCGCGAAGCGAGGTGAGTTCGGGAAACTTCCAGCCACCCGAGGTGCGTCCAATCCCGGACTCACCGAACCTGCAAGTACGTTTGGTTTTTATCTCATACACCGAGCCATACACACATTTGTAGCTCTTCGCGATATATTCGTCGATGTTTTGTCAACATTTTTCCAGCCAAAAAAATCACTGGGCAAGAACACAATTCTTTATCTACGTCTAGATTACCTTTACTGCATTTTTCTTTGGTTTTTCTTCAGTCTCAGCAAGTTAGTCACCGAAAAAGTTCTATAAAGTCTAGGTTTATCGGCTAAATTTTGTCCGCCATATTTGTTATTGTTATTGCAAGTTGCAACGTGAGCAGTTTCGCGGGTGAGTTCGGCGAAAAGCAGGTGAGTTCGGGCAAAAAGCAGGTGAGCTCGACGACAAACTCACCTGCTCTAAACCAATCAGAAAGCCGCTTTTAACACAGGTATGGGATAAGAATTTGGCTACACAAACTTGTTTGTTAGTTTGATATTTCTCGTTATGACTTCATTAATAGTTTATAAATAGTTAATATTGTGATCCACTATAGTATTTTAGAATATATTATAGATAGTATGTTCTCGCCCTGTAGGATTTTGCCACTAGATCACTAAGTGACAATAACTTGGGTGTTGAAGATGCATCTAGAGCAGACGAAGATGATGATTTAGCTCCATTTCAAATACGAAGACGTTGGGAATTAAGGTGCATAAAACAAGAACATCTTTCGCAAACATACACAGTCCATATTTCTTTATTATTTGTGACGAAATTAGAAAAATATGCTTATTTATTTTTGGTTATTCAAAAATTATCAAATGCTCGATGCAGTAAATTTGAAACTTTACTAAAAAATTGTGTAAATGTGCTTAAAATTAAGTATATGGCTTAGCATTGGCACTATCATGAAAATTTTTTTTTCATAATCCAGAAACATAACGTGTGCTTGATATTCTTACCAAATTTCAAGGCAAAATTCGTTCATCTTCCTGACTTTTTTACGATTCTTATTTGCCAATTTTACGGCCGCCATTAAACGCTGCCAATTAAGCGAGAAGGCGTTTTGAAGAGGATGTGACGTCATTCACTCAACACGCCGAATGTTTTTATTGTATTTCACTACTATTTCAACAATGTCTTCGTACAAAGGAGAGTCAGAAACTTCAGAATTAGTGAACACTCGCATGGGAGCAAAGTGAGCTGTGATGAAGAAACGTACGGTGACTCACATTCAAGTGAAAATAGTGTTGAACAGAAGAAAACAAACCTAGAAAAGTTAATATTTGTCGACAATAAATGTAAGTTATAGATATAAACACATGATTTCAACGCATAATTTTGTGTCTATTGGCATAGGCTGCCCAAAAGTGCGTGTTGTAATTTTTACCCTCGCGCGTGGCGCTCGGGCATGCATCGAGTCTACTCAGTTTATTATTATGACAAGGTTGGCAAGACGTTTAACGGAAATTTAATACAACGTTTACTAGAGTATGAATATTTCGCAAATTACAAACAAAAACAATATAAAATCTACATAATTTCAAACACTGGTAATTTACTACATTCTCTCAAAGTTATAACTTCAAAAGTTCATTCTAAGGTTGTTAAAAAAGCGAATTATTTTCGGGTTTTTTTGCAAAATTTTGTCAAAACTATGCTGGGGTTACGTACCCTGTGGTGATGTCATATTTTTTAAATTTTGAAGAAGCGTTGATTTGCTGTTGTACACGATTCCAGTACAACAGCAAATCAGCGCTTCTCAAAATTTAAAAAATATGACATCACCACAGGATACGTGACCCCAGCATAGTTTTGACAAAATTTTGCAAAAAAACCGAAAATAATTCGCTTTTTTAACAACCTTAGAATGAACTTTTGAAGTTAAAACTTTGAGAGAATGTAGTAAAATTACCAGTGTTTGAAATGATGTAGATTTTATATTGTTTTTGTTTGTAATTTGCGAAATATTCATACTCTAGTAAACGTTGTAATAAATTTCCGTTAAAAGTCTTGCCAACCTTCTCATAATAATAAACTGAGTAGACTCGATGCATGCCTGAGCGCCACGCGCGAGGGTAAAAATTTCAACACGCACTTTTGGGCAGCCTATGCTATTGGTCTATTTCTGTATTTTTAACGACTGTAAATTAAACTGACACTCAGGGAAATTAGTGCACTTGGAGATTTTATAGCACAAGTAAATATCCTATGACTTTATCTGCGTTTTCGCTTGCCCTGGGACACGTATAAACGCGATATATATCGAGGTACTGATATTATACTGTACCAAAGATTATTGCATATAATATTAACAATAAGTTGATTTCAGATTTTACAACTAATTGCATTTGAATCGGATAATTTTTATAAATAGAACGAATCACAAAATTAATATGCTAAATTAATAATGCTTCAAATCAGTTCAAATGTTCAATATTTGTTTTCCATACTTTTATAGACCTTCAATGCCAATGGCAATGGGCGCCGTGCAAGTTGAAAATTACACATCTACTTTTCAAATGCAAGTTGTAAAATCAACTATTGTATTTATCCCCGTCGCGTGTGACCTTTTTATACTGTATATATAGTTTGCTATACAATACTAGCCGGCCTACAACGAGTCTTTAATACGGCAAGCGAAAACGCGCGTAGAGTCGTAGGATATTTTATACTTGCACTATAAAATTCCTGAGCTAGTGCATGTCAGTTTATTAATTTACAGTCGTTAAACATACAGCAATAGATCGATAGACAGTTATTAGACACACATGCATTGAAATATTATTTATAGCTATAAATTACAAGGCATTTGTTTGTATTTTTGTTCGTATTTTGATTGACCGAAAGTTTATTATCATATTGTTTATTAGAGTAGTTACTTTAGCAATACCTTGTAAATTATGGTCATGCTAATGAAGTATTTCATAATAATAATAATAATAATAATATCATACGTAGTACGCTATTAAAGGTTTTCCTTCCATCGGCCATCGCTGCTTATGTTTTGTGTACGTGAGAAACTATCAAGTTGCTGTGATGTATATTAAAGAAGTATAAAGCGATGCTATAAAGGCAAACTTTGAACAATTGATGAAAATTATCCTTTTCAACTTTAAAGTAAGTTTGTGCCAAAGGTTAATATGTTTTCAACAACAAACAAGATTGTCAACAAATATTAACTTTTCTAGGTTTGACTTCTTCTTTTCATCACTATTTTCACTTGAATGTGAGTCATCGTACGTTTCTTATTCACAGCTCGCTTTGTTCCCTTGCGAGTGTTCACTTTCTGAAGTTTCTGACTCTCCTTTGTATAAATTTGTACGAAGACATTGTTGAAATAGTAGTGAAATACAATAAAAACATTCGGCGTGTTGAGTGAATGACGTCACATCCTCTTCAAAACGCCTTCTCGCTTAATTGGCTGCGTTTAATGGCGGCCGTAAAATTGGCAAATAAGAATCGTAAAAAAGTCAGGAAGATGAACGAATTTTGCCTTGAAATTTGGTAAGAATATCAAGCACATGCACGTTATATTTCTGGATTATGAAAAAAAAAAATTCACGATAGTGCCACTTTAAAATTAAGTATAATTTTACCTAAAATTTTGAGTCACTGTGGGTTCATTATTTTACTCACGTTTTTAGTCAAAATACTCAGGGAGTTTTTGCAGTGATTTAAATAAAGTGAAGAACGATCAGTGGCGCTTTTCCTTCCACAAAATTATTGCTTCAAGGAACATAACATAAAAATGTTGGTTGAATAAAACTGATATTTATAATAGTTACGCAAAGCTCATGCTTTCTAGGAGATTGATTATTATATTTACATTCACTTGTTCTATTAATAGTTTCGCTATAAATTGCAAAAGAAATGTTAAGATTGAATTTCTCGTTGAATAAACGTCCACTCAGCGACTGTACTTCAAACGTCACTGTATTTCGCGTTTATGGTCTTACAGTTTTTAATTACAATAACTTATTGCAATAACTTATTGCAGTATTCATGACAAATATATTATTGTGGATGTTTCAGTTTTATCTTTGAGTATGTTTTCCTTCTTGGAGAATCACTTACTGGTATTTCAACAAATGTTTCATGTATGATCATGCATCTAATCACAGTTTTTAAAACTCTAAATCTTATATCATATTTATTTTTTTTACAGTCCCCATCCTTACATCTTTTTCAACCATGACCGTGTCAGCATGACTTTCCTGGGATTTCTGCTCAGTCAGGAAGGTGATTTACTTCATCCTGGAACGAACAGAGTTTTGGAACAAAGGTTGATGGAGCCTACGTTAAGAGGACAACTTAAACTTCAGGGCGTCGATTTTGATGTAAACTACGAGAACCGTGACAGGTTGGCTTGAATACAGTAATGTATACTGTTTTCTATTTAATTCTAGGATTTTTTAGGATTTGCGAAGCAAAATCCTTTATGTCATCAGGTTTGTAAGATAAATAGATAGATATAGTAACACGAATGACGTAGGATAATTAACGTTGAGTTCCGAGTCGAGTATTCGTGAACTGCCGGACGCTATTATCTGCGATTTCTGTTTGTCGTATATACGCAATCTTTCGGGCAAAAAACCCGCCACGCTGGTCATATTCAGCAAATTTTCTCCCAGTACCGCAGGCTCGCATTTTCAGCGCACTTGCGGTAAAAAATTGAAACTTTTGCATTTTTCAAATAACTGGCCACTTTCTGTAAGATGTTCGCTGACAATACGAGCCCGCACGAGTGGGAGAAATTTTGCTAAATTTGACCAATGACTAAACATAGACCAATGACTAAACATTGTACCACTTACTTTGAGCTAAACGAAGGAATATATGACTGTTTTGTGCTAGGAATACAAATGGAAAAGGTCCTAAAAGACAAATTCGTTCAACTCAGGAGCGGACTACGGAGTTATAAAATATATTTAAAAACGGTGTTTCTATTATGAAAACGGTATTGTTCATTTTTTATTCGTATTCATTGGAAATGAATTAGAAATGTAATTGCTTGTTACGGAATGCAGAAACATCCAAACAATTTAGTTATTTTTTATCCAAACGTTAAATATCTTCAACATTTCTACAAATTGAGTTTTTTTTATCTTCCAAGCAGTAATAAAGCCATTTAAGGAGGCTCCCTACAGTTTCCAACATATGTCAGTGTTTTAAACTAAAACCTATTTAATTAATTTGAATCTAAAAAAACTAATTTTTTTGCACAAGCCATTGTTTCCTCTTATATAAAAGAGTAATTTTAACCCACAATCGCTACTCTTCATGTCACCATGACAACATGACGTCACCATCTATATTGCCTATATCAACCAAAAAAGCCGTCTTAGCGGACAAATAATCACGGTGACCTACCTTTTTTATTGCAGAAAATACATTGCTATGAAGTTTTGAATCTTTTATGAAAGTTATTTGAAAATCGCCAGTACGTGTAGTGAGAAACTGAATTTCAGCCTTTCCAAAGGCTAGAATGCAATCTCAAAAGGCTGAAATTCGGGTTCTCGAAAACTACACTGGCGATTTTCAAATAATTTTCAAAAAAGATTCTAAACTTCATCACAATGTATTTTCTGCAATAAAAAAGGTAGGTCACCTTGGTTATTTTGTTTGCTACAACGGCTTTTTTGGTTGATATAGGCCATATAGATGGTGACGTCATGTTGTCATGGTAATGTGAAGAGTAGCGATTGTGGGTTAAAATTACTCTTTTATATAAGAGGAAACAATGGCTTGTGCAAAAAAATTTTTTTAGATTCAATTTAATTAAATAGGTTTTAGTTTAAACCACTGACATATGTTGGAAACTGTAGGGAGCCTCCTTAAAAGATGTAGTAGATTGACTTTAAATATAACAGTTATTAATTAAGCAAAAATTTACTTTCAAAGAAAAGATTTGTCGTGATGTTGTTTTTATATTACATTTTGGGCGATATTTTTCCATCTTTCTTGCATTATAAAATTTACAACAAAATTGCAAATCCTTACGCACTCCTCGAGTGCCTATTTTTTATATTGTGAGAAAAGTTGTAACAATAAATATTTTCCTTTCATCAAAGGATGGCACGTATCGAGAACTTATGCAGTGTCATGGGAATTGAGTACTTGCATGATCCAGATCCCACATATGAACTCACCACAGATAATGTTGAAAAAATTTTGGCAATTCACATGCGATTCAGGTTAGTGTGTATTTATATATCCTGGCTAATTTCAACATGATAATTGATTCATATGCATTGAATAAATTAACTAAATACATTCACGACCCAACCAGTTTAGCTACTATTATCCATATTTAAAGCATAATGGTTCTTATATTTATGTGCCTCACCTCCAAGCAACGCTTTGACAATAATAGCTGTTCGTGCTTATCCACCACATCATGGTTTGCCTATAAGCAAATGCTAATTGCTGTATTATATCTGCTAAAGAAACGTGGTGTTATATGTACTATTTACAACATGAGCGGCCGTGTTGTATCGGATATACAAACTCGTCTTATATGCAGTTTTTTATAAGCTTTCTGATGATGCAAGTCATATTTGTTGTAATTGTATACAAAATTTCACATTTTTTGGCTATAAAAGAATTTAATAGAAGATAATCACTAATCACCCGTTTTCAGGAGTTAGCAGCAAAATAGCGATGGCCCTACTTCAAATATCTATTAAGTAAATAAAACTACATCAATTGTAAAAGTTTGATGCTTTTAACCTCAACGGGAACTACTGACCAATAAGTAATGTTTACAACATGAGCGGCCGTGTTGTATCGGATATACAAACTCGAGCCGAAGGCGAGAGTTTGTATATCCGATACAACACGGACGCGAATGTTGTAAAGAACTTAAAAAACGACTCATTTTATAAGTTCATTGGCGAAGTAATTTTAAAAATAAACGTTGTCTAAGCCGAGAAAATCAAAGTTAAAGTTTATGTAAATCAACATGAATCTGTATCACATATACAGATACGACACGCTTATGATTTTTCTTTGTGTTTTCTTCATGAATTTTTAATGAGTTTTTTAAGAGGTGTTATGAGGTGTTATATTATTTACTGAAAAGAATAAATTAACATTGTTTTCTACTTATCTAATGTGCTTATACTGACTGAGGATGTACTGAGATATATTCGAAAAACATATACCATACATTTTCGAGATTCGGAAGATTACGTGAATAGGGGCCATTTAGTAAGTCCGCTTGGGAGGAGGGAGAGCGAGTATGATTGATGCGTATATTTGCGTACGAAGGGGCGTTGCCACAACACATAAACATTGAAGTAGCAATAACCTTTTTGGCGTCCCGCTGAGTCATAAAGCGAGCAACGAAAGCGAAACTAGTCGGTATTGGTAAGCAAACAACCCAACCACATCCAAACGAAACCATTAGGGTCTGCAGAAGAAAAGAAATTTAGCGTATGTACTAAATGGATGCCTCCATTGCTTGTTTAAATGCTTCATTCAAATTTCTTTCAAAAAGGTGTGGCATACCAGTAATTATCATGGGGGAGACAGGATGTGGCAAGACTCGTCTGATTAGATTCATGTGTGAACTTCAAGCTGGACCTGATGGACCGAAAAATTTGCTACTCATGAAGGTTTGGCTAGTTTGGCTAGTCTAAGCACCTTACTTTTTGCTAAATTTATAAGTCACGGACATTTCATTGTAATTTGAATTTCAATTTTCGATGGATTGTTTTAGGGACAAATCGTTGTCGTAGATAGATTGGAGTATCATATGTGCCTTTTTTGCCTGAGTTGGAATTTAAATGTTAGAAATTTATGTAATTTGGTTGTAGTAAAAATTATTAATGATAATGAATATGTTTCACATATATGTGAAACCTTAACTGAAAAAACAGAATGGCTGAACAGTGATTTTGTGTCGGTAACAAACGATTGTTTTCTTTTGTATGCTTTTTGATGTATACTATACTATATTTTGAGCATACCATGATGTAAATTTAATCTGACAATGTACACACATTCATGCATTTAATTCACAATCTTCGTCTAATTTTAAACACAATTACAATATCCAGGGCTTGGGTGGATATTGTTGGTAGACTATATTATTTAGCGGATATTTTGGGGCTATTTAGGTACATGGTGGAACAAATTACGCAGAAATTGAAAAGAAAGTGGAAGACGCAGAAAAATTGGCTTTCTTCAATGAGAAGATAAAAGTTGATACTATTTTATTCTTTGATGAGGCCAATACGACTGATGCAATTGATCTTATCAAAGAAATTATGGTTGACAGAAGAGTGAATGGACGAGCTATTAATCTTGAGCTGACGAGACTGCATTTCATTGCCGCTTGTAATCCATATCGAAAGTAAGTTAAAATAGTTCGAAGTAATTCGTTTCCTTTGTGGTTTGACGCAATATTCAATTTTTATTTAATGGTACTAAACGAACCTTTGTCATAAAATTTTAAATGTTGCGGCTGTTGAGAAAAAAGTTGTACTATACATTTTGATTTAAGCTACTTTTCAGCTTAGTCGATGTAAAACACTCAGAGTAATATCAGCCAAAAAATTAAATTAAATGTTGAACACTACAACGACAAGGCGCTAGATCACAAGATATCGAAGGAACTAGATTAAGTCATGTAGTATCGCATACTCGAGCCAATTTGACCTCGGTTTGTAGAGTGTTAGACATTCCAATTGTCATTACCAAATCACCAAATACCATATCAACTTAATATTATTACTTTTCAGCACATCTGTAGACGGAAACGTGTTATCAATTTAAACCAATTCACGTGGCAAATTTTAACCATGCAGATAGCGAAGACATGCATGCTGGAACACGGCTGCAAGACACCTACGAAAAAAAAAGTGTTTATACAAGAATTTTCGATGAATCAAATCTAATTTTTAAGCGCGTTTCATATTTAACAACACACACAATTCTGATAGCTTTCTGCAGAATATCTGTATCTATACTTGAATGCAAGATCATGCATTGCTTACTTTAAGAACTAGGCCGTTTGCCGTGACCCGATATCGTTCACTCTCATTAAGCATGTCGTGGAACTGAAATATTTTCACGGTAACTATCATTTTCGAACACGTTGAATTCAAATCAGAAAACTTCCCGCTCCGTATTTTCACTTGTTCGACGAACAAAAATAAACACGCGCCATTTTGAATTTACTCAGAGTATGCCGTTTTTGCTACCCAGTCTCCGATGCTCATGGCCGAGTAATTATCATCTAGATCCATTAGAGCAATGTTATTTTAAATTCGCTGCAAAACAAACACAGTCACGTGGTTTTCAAAATGGCTAGTCAGATTTTCAGTTTATTTGCCAGTAAAATCGATAAAAAAATGAGAAATAAAAGTTTAAATTAATGATGTGTCAGAGAAAAGCAATAAGGTAGGTGTTCTATGTGTATATTTTTTGAGTTATTTTTTGTTTAAGACTAATGGCCTGTAAAGGAACAAACAAGTGAACAACCATGACGATTTATTAATTATTGTAATATTGTATTGCATTTGCATGTGTATGAAATAAATGTTTATCAGGTTACCTCTATTTAAAACTTTCAGACACATATATAAGACATATAAGGAAAGGATTAATTAAGGCCATAACCTGTTGCCGACCTATTTGTTCCATGATTTATTGCAGCTTCAAGACTTAGACTGTGCTAGAATATACACAAGAATATGTAATAGAGCATACAAATACGATTCTTGCATTCTGCATGAATAGATTGGGTCTAAACTTGTATTAATTCTATCCAAGGAAAGATGTTTGGCTGACAGAGATCAGCCTGGTTTTGCGACCTACAGTAGCCGCTCAAATAAGCAGCCCCGAAATTGGAGTAGCTAGGTGGAAGCAAAGCTGTGAGTTCAAAATATATTTAACAGCATTAATGTTTTGTCGTCCAGTTTGACAAAGTAGGTTTGCATGGTGATAAAACATATAATATTATTGTATGTGGAAACACCACATAAATTTATTATTGCAAAACTTTCGATCTGTAAGCGCGGATCTTCATCGGGCTTATGGATCGAAAGTTTTCCAGTAATAAATTCACATGGTGTTCCCACATTCAATAATATTATACTTTGTGTTGTTATGCTGGGTTTTTTTCAGCTTGACAGTAAATAAGTGGTTTGTTTTGTTGTATAACCTGTTAGAAATAAGTAAAAATACACAACCTAAATGTGATCAATGACAGGCTGTGCTGTGATCACCTAAATGTGATCAATGACAGGCTGTGCTCAGATTCGTGTACTCTGTTCGGCATGGGGGAAGCCACTTACAAAGAAAAAATATTTAACATTTCTGAAGGCATAGTTGTTTCGATCACAGTCTTTCTTGCATGGTATATGAATTTATGCTTTACTATATACTGAAAGAGATTAAAGATTCAGATATTTAGTTAGTATGTCATATTTTACGAATATATAGCAGTTCAAAATTTAAAAGTATTTGTTTACATTACAGACTTTACAGCATCTTTAATTAAATTTCAGTTCAATTGAAAATTTAAGACATGGTATAAACATTTTATTATGAGAATATATAATTCAATAAATTGTGATAAACATTGTTTAGTTTTCAAACTCTAATATAAAAAAAATGGCTCAACACAAATGAGAAGAACAGTATTTTATAATTGCAGTATTTAAAACGAAGAGCCTGAGAAGCTATAAAACCTAATATTATCCCCATGAAAGGAACACAAATTTGAATTAATAGAATTATAATATATGCATACTGTATGACTGGTCAGACATCAGTCTTGCTTCTCACTTCTTTTATAATAATATTTAATTGAACAATTAAATTTCAGTATCAATTTATCTAGAATATGTATTATTCATTATATAGAGTATATATCATTTACTTTAGTTACTGTTGACTGTTTTGGGGTTGTTTCCCCCCATTTAACTTCATTTTACCTGATCAAGTAGCCTACACTCTATAGGGAATTATGAACTACTTTTTGTGGATCTTCATGAGTTCATGCGTTCAATTGGGTTGTTTGTTCCTTTACAGGCCATTAGTCTTAAACAAACTCAAAAAATATACACAGAGAACACCTACCTTATTAATTTCTCTGGCACATCATTAATCTGAGTGATGTTATTTAATTTCAAAATGGCGCATGCAGAGGAGGTCGGACAAGCGAGTTGTCACGTGAGCTCTCGACCAATGAGATCGCTCTATTTTCCATCGTGTTTTCTGCAGAATTTGGACAGAAAAATTTGCATTTGATGGAAAATAAATCGAGAAAAAATACTAATATTAATATTTTCTTGCAAAATTTCAAGTGTAGTAGTACTACTGCTAACGATCTGGTGATATCTGCAAAAATCTCTAAGGTAAACGTTATTTTCAATGCTATTTTGATGTTTGAAGTTAGTCGACTCACCGCGACGTGTTGACTCAAGTCTAAATATGTTTACAATGTTTAAAATCAAATATCTAGAATTCCCATGGTTCGATTTTCCACATTTTTGGTAGTCGACAAGAAAATAATATAAGCTTTAAATCTGCTGGAATGATCCCGGTGATCCCGATCCCGAGTTTTCGAGATATTGACCATTGAAGCGACTATGGTCAACTCGACATTCGCTGAAATGGCGTCTAATACCTTGGAAAGAATTTGCGCCATCAAAGATTATATTTTCAATTAATTTTTGTTAAAATGTTAAAATATTATTTATAATACTTAGGAGTTGTTTTAATATTTTTGTAGAATTTATATCTGTGCGATTTTCAAAGTTTGTTTGTCTTTGGCCGACGCGACTGGATCATGTACATATTCCCATACGAGCTGATCGCCTGATCCTGGGGGTCTTGTTGCAAATCGAGCTAATAGCAGCCCATTTCAAACCATCGGAGAGCTCCACTCGTTTTAAAACAATAAAACAAGTTTTTTATTGTATTATCCTGTATCATATAGCAAATTATAAAGTATCGTGTTGTCAATGTTATAATATTGTGGTCAATTTATTGAAATTGAATAAATATTTATATATAAATAGACATCTTCTTGTTTTGTTGTTGCATTAATTTTAATCTGAAAAAAATTAACACAAAGTAGGTCAAATGCATGGATAAATTATTCATTTATTTTATTTTATTTTATTTTATTTTACTAAAGCAATTTTTACAGTTATGTACTTACTTGCATGAGTGTACATGACAGATTGTTTTAATTAGATATAGAAAGTTATCATTTATAACCCATGGTTTGTTTAAAAAATGCTGGAAAAATCTAAAAATTTAGCCAATTTAAATAAATGCACTTCAATAACTTGCTGAACATAGGTAGTTGTTATTATTTATATAAAACCATCTGTCAATGTACACTCTTGCTTTTCCTACCACATGAGTCTCCCACAAACCATGTCTCTATGAAAATCTTTGGATAAAATCCTATTTTAAAAAGTCAACCCTGTACTTGATAAGCTGAACATAGACATCCACGACATCTCTTGCAGCATTTAGTTGGTGAAGATACTTGCATAATTCAGAAGCAATATATATAATCAACATGGGGCCATCCAGTTCCATAGTCTAGATCAATTGCTATTGCACTTGGGACCCTTGGATTCAATGGCTCTGGCCGTATTCTTACAATCACTAGTTTATCTTGTTCATGAAGAGTGAGGTATGCCTTTTTCAAATGATGTTGGTAGTGGTTCTCATGAGCGGCATTGATGCACTTGAATGGTACAGCCTCCTCATCACTTAACTCATCATCATCTTCTGCCCTATCACCTTGATCACCTCTTTCATTATCATATCCATCCTGAACAGACTCAAGACCAGCCAACAACTCAAGTAAATCTCTTTCTACAAAATCATCACAAGAAAATTATTATTCCATGCACCGTCATCTCTAAAATTAGCAATCTTACACAAAAGCACATGTATGTAACCTCTAAATTCTTAATACCTAACTGTGTATTTAGAACCACACACAAACATAGCTATATTTAGATGAAACTTGAAAAATATTAAACTACAGTTTGCACATTTAGGGCCTGTTTATATGATCCAGGCGGGACGGGATGCTTACCGAGATCCCGCTCATAATACAAATTCTAAAGAGTGTTTATATTATCCCGCCACTTATCCCGCCTAGACGGGATCTCGGCAACAGATACCGGGATCCCGCCTAAGCGAGATGAAAAATTAACATATAAACACTTCATCCCGCCTAGCCGGGACGAAAAATTCCCATATAAACACTTCATCCCGGCTTAGCGGGATGAATTTTTCCCTTTTGAGCATGCGTAAACGACAATATGACATGCAACAAAAATATGACGTCAAGCACTTAAATGGCTTCATCCCGCCAATGTATTTTGTGCATATAAACACTAGGCGAGTATCCCGTCTAGGTGGGATGAAAACGTCCCGTCCCGTCTAGGCGGGATCATATAAACAGGCCCTTAATAAACAACCATCCACAACTAGATACAAACAGACATCATAGGGTCAAACTAGAGGGTTGAATTTAATATTTGAAATATTACGCAATATTAAAATTTGTACAGTGTATATTTATAACATTACTTAACAGTACAATATTGAAAACAGCAAAGTGGAAATTTGAAACAAGTCAACTGTATTGCATTGTAGGATACCAACCTTAAATACTGCGCTTGTTTTCACGTTGATGATACACGGAGATTTAACGCCATCCAACTTAGAAAACGATTTTCATTAAGCATGTCGTGGAATTGAAATATTTTCACAGTAACTAACATTTTCAAACACGCTGAATTCAAATCCGAAAACTTCCCGCTCCGTAGACCCACAGTTTTTTCACAAATTGCATTTGTATTTTCACTTCTTCGACGAACAAAAATAAACACGCGCCACAGAGGAGGTAGGACCAGCAGGCCGCAAAGCATCATGGGTTTGAGCGCCTAATTCCAAGCGTGGCTTCAATGACTCTTTGACTGTCGTGGAGTGAAAATATCTCTGAGTAAACAAATATGCAAGCATTCGAAAGATTGTCAGGCTGCAATACTTATTGCTAGCTACTGTACCAAGTTTATCTTATATTAAATTGCATGGGACATGCTGTAATTTTAGCTTTATAAATAATCCGCGAAGGAATTGTTATTCCCAAGGCTCTTCTTTCTAGGCATATTTTGAGGTCACGGCAAACGGCCTAAACATTCTTTACATGCACACATTTAGAGCTACTAGTTTGAGGCTGCCCTCCATTTTTATATATAAAGAATCCAAGCAATTATAGTTTTGATGACTCATTTTAGGCACACAAAAGAGATGATTAAGAAACTAGAATCTGCTGGTTTGGGGTATCATGTGTCGGCTGGTGAAACTGACGATAAATTAGGTATGACGCTATTAAAAATGTCATTAAAAATGATTACTGTAATTCATAGCTTGAGCATGGACGTATACACTGTAGCCTCGCGGACAGTTGTGTAGAACTGTAGATCGTTTTCCCTTATAATACTGGCTCAGCAATAGCCAAAACTTCGGACGAAACCAATGTTGAAATGCTGGATACGGGTTGGAGTTATAACAACTTTGCCTGTATACAATGTGCCAATGTGCTAATTTTAAAGTTTGCTATTTACCAGAATAATAAGTTGCTGCATAAGTGTTTCAAGCATTATCTCATACCAGTGTTAAAAGCGGCTCTCTGATTGGTTTAGAGCAGGTGAGCTTGTCGTCGAGCTCACCTGCTTCTTGCTCGAACTCACCTGCTTTTCGCCGAACTCACCCGCGAAACTGCTTACGTTGCAATATAAACAATAACAAATATGGAGGACAAGATTTAGCCGATAAACCTAAACTTTAAAGAATTTTTTTCGGTGACCTAACCTATAGGCTAAGAGCCTAAGAAAGACTGAAGAAAAAAGTTCGGGAAACTTCCAGCCACCTTCGGTGCGTCCAATCCCGGACTCACTTCCCTAAAAGTATGTTTGTTACAAAGCCTATCGTATAAGCCTGTAGAAAGTTAAGACTCGGCAACTTGGTCCATTATTTAGTATATATTTTTTTTAAATTAATTATCTATTTTTGGCTCCTATACATTCCCCTTCTGACCTAATTTCTCGTTATTCGTTAACAATTTATTGTTGCCGCCCTTCTTTGAAGCCCTTTGAAGCCCTTCTCTACTATCGCCAAACTGGGAGTACTGGAACATACAGCATATATATATATATATATATATATATATATATATATATATATATATATATATATATATATATATATATATATATATATATATATTGTTATATACTGTTATACTCTTCTTTACAGGGTCAATTCCACTCCGACAGCTTGTGTATCGTGTCCATCCTTTGCCAGAGAGTATGAGACCGCTAGTGTGGGACTTTGGCCAGCTTACAGATCATACAGAAGAACTTTATACTACGCAAATAGTTCGAAGGTTCATGTTATCACCAACGCCATGTGTAAGTATAATTCACCGGTTATTGGAGTAAACTTTGAAACCAAAACTAGACAAATGAAACGCCGTAAATGTTTAATAAAAAAGTTTAATAAAATGAACTTTGAAACTTCATGGTTGACGCGCACTGCTCCCATTTTATTGTTGACCGGTCAATAAATGTTCTAAAATGGACTGGTTGCTTCTTTGCCAGGGAAATGCAGTAAACACGACATTTGGGGAACGGCACGTGATACGCTTTTGTCCAAACGGAAAGCAGGAAAATTGAACTTTAACACTAACTATATACAGTAACAACATAATGTATGTTATTATGTTGTGTTATTTATTCGTCCTCACCGTGCAGCTCAGTTGCATGGTAATCATCGATCTACTAATCCGAAAGTCGCGGGTTCGAAACCCGCGTGGTCTGGAAGTTATGCAATATTTCACTCGAAAACATTTTCTCCACTCAAAACGTCGAAAATACGAGTTTACCTGATAGTGAAGATTTTCGTTCAAATTATCGTCCAGATATATTATTCAACTTTTCCGAAATTCGTCTAGATGAAGTAATTCACCAGTTACTCACTCTTAAAATATCAAAATGGACAGGCCTCGACAATATTCCAGCAAAAGCTCTTAAACTATCCGCGGACATAATTGGGCCGTTATTAACGTGGATATTTAATCTTTCGATTTAAAAGTGGAATTTACGTGGACGAATGCATGGAAAAAGGCCTGGGGCCGGTTGTACGAAGGCTGGATAGCGCTATCTACCGGATAGTGATTTTTTCAAGCTTTGTTAAATCGGTCGTTGATTGGTGTAACTAGTATTAAAGTTTAGTATTTATCAGTTAAATGTTTTTTATACTTCTTATGTCGTCCATATCCGTAGTTTCACAGTTTTTCAAGCATTTTTTCAAAGGTTGAAAAAATCACTATCCGGTGGATAGCGCTATCCGGCCTTCGTACAACCGGCCCCTGGGTATTGCCAATTTACTAGAAATACATGCATGCAGCAACCCCTCGCCTATATATTCCAAACATTGATTTAACAGGAAGCATCACTAATTGATCAACACTGAACGCAGGCTCGCGTTTACGTCAGTATCGCCGTGGCAACACGATTTTTATTCAGTACTTTTGTACAACACGGCAAAATAGTTGAAAGATTATTGCCTTTAACTATATAACAATGAATTTCCGAAATATGTACTGTAGGTATGTTGTTCTGGATTTTGTGGGCTTTGATTTAATGTAAAATTACACCTGAATGGCTTCGTAAAATGCTTTGAAATGTTCATTTTAATAACTAATATAAACTGCTTTGCCGATAAACTGTTTTTAATACTTCAAATTGTTAGTAATTTCAGTTAGGTCTTCAAATTAATTTGCTCTTCTTTACATTTTACCTTTTTTCTTAAATTAAACAAGGTAATTTAGGGAACTTACAGCTTCATTGAGAAGGAAAACAGCAGAGCATGTTTTACGCAATAAATTATTAAAGCAACAAAATTCATATAAACATTCAAAGCAAACTTGCACTATATTTCACGATTTTCCATAGTAAATCAATTCTTCTCATTTCTTCAAACAAAAATTGCTTCAAAGTTCATTGTGTGAAACGTAATTTGCCAAATATATGCTTTGAAAATTGAAATCTTGCTTTAATATCCTCATTGTGCTTATCCCACTCCTGGCAAACAGTCATATTTTTGAGATCAGTGAGGAGGTCCACCCATGAACCATAGTCACGCGCCCACGATCATTCATGAACTTTAGACTTCGCTAATGCTTTCCTTTCCCCAGGTGTTAATAGCCGGGCGGAATTAGTACTCTCGTCCCGGGCTACCCATTATTAGTAAAGTGCTGTTTTTAATCAGATTTATAATTTCTCAATGATAACTCTCTATACTTTCCAAATATCAATCTGGCTTTCGGCCAAGGAATTCAACTCTGATCGAGGTTCATTCACATTTCTTGGCGTCGAGCTCGACGAAAATCTTAATTGGAATGAACATATTGAAACGATTTGTAAAAAGGTTGGGGCAGCCGGACAGGAATAGGACAAGGAAAATAATTGAGCCGAATGTTCCTGCAAACACCTTGCAAACAATTTATCGCGCGCTGATACAGCCTTACTTCGATTACTGTACTCCCTTACGGGGAGTTTGTAACAAACAGCTTAAAGATTAACTTCAATAATTTCAAAACTGGGTAGCAAGAATTATAGCTGGCGCTAGCTATACGAGACCTGATCCGCTGATGTTCTTCGATCTCTTGATTGCTTGGGATAATAGAGACCTTGTACGATTTTAGGACGGCAACGCGAAGGCAACGGCTACCAATACAATAGATCATTGAAAAGAATTGAGTAATTACAATATATGAATAATTTAGACTATATATATATATATATATATATATATATATATATATATATATATATATATATATATATATATATATATATATATATATATATATATATATATATATATATATATATAATTTCGCTTACCTCAAAATTCCGCAACAGTCTGTTTCATCAGTAAATAATCATCAGGCGGTATGACAAGTTTCGAAAATAGGACTGCTTATATGTGTTTTGGCCGGAATGTGGGTGTGTGTGGGTGAAACAAAGCATGCATTCATCTATTGTTTGCGTTGTTTACGCGGAAATGCCTAATCGAGTTGTGGGAGTGTATTGTTTGCGTTGTTTACGCGAAATTTCTTCCTATGTCTGCACGTTGATATAATTTCCATTCTTTTATTGAGTAAACAGTTTTGGTTTTCTTTCAAAATACAAAATTTTTCCTCTAAACATAAATTACATCGTTTTGATCCTCCCGTATACGAAATAGCGCGTTTCAAAATTTGCCAATTGATATTAAAATCTTTCTTGTTATCTTTCAAAGTCCAAATATATTTCGAAAGTTCAGTTTTGTTTGAGTGCTCTTTATGTTCGAAAGTATAGTTATGGTTAGCCAAACGCTCTTTAAATGTAGGTGATGTCATGCCAATATAATTCATGATCGTGTTAGGGTTGCTTGTTGTGACTGTTGCTTTGTATGCTATGTCCTTAGTCATGCATTGTCTCTGAAGTGGGCATATTGCGTTTTTCGAACATCTACAATTGACAGTTCCCTTGCCCTGTGCCTTGTTCTTCCTAGCTATATGTGCATTGTGCTTAGTGATTATAGACTTAACATTGCTCATGCAGCTATAACTTACTTTTACTGTATTTCTGTTAAAGATCTTATGCAGCTTGTGGTGCGAAGGAAAGTGCTTGACGATAAGGTTAAGAAAATTACGCCCTATATTAGTGCTGACATTCATGCTAAATGGTGGGTTGAACCAAATGATATTACGTTGCCTATTTCTGCGTGCTTGCTGTGGTGCGTGTCGAGTGTAGCTAAGATCATGATTAAAGTTGCTATGATCAAGTGCGTTTTGGTATGCAGGTGCAGATTCCATAAATGTCTGCTCATCTGATGAAAACATTGCGATGCGCTTGTTAACTGATGTAGGTATAGCTGCCTTATAATGCTAGGTGGATGGTTAGAGTACCTATTTATGTATAGCGGATCGTCATTGGGCTTCCTATAGGGCCTATATTTTCCGTTGTTAAGATTGAAAGTTACATCTAAAAAGTTTACTATATGCGTAAATTTGATTCGGCGGTGATTTTTAGGTCAAACAGCTCGAAAATTTTGTGGAGTTCTTTTCTTGTGTTGTCTGCTAAACGTGCCGATTTACTTTTTATAAGGGCCAAACCGC